CAAAGTATAACAATTTCAAATTGTTGAAGTATATTTAAACGTTGTACTAATGCATCATTTATTTCATAGTTTCTAGCTATTGTTCGAAGACGATCATTATGAATATTTGTATTGTAACCACCAGCTATGAGATGAAAAGAAAAAAAAAGTATTAAATCAAATAATTACAAACTACAAACCAAATTGTTGATATGGTCCTTGTGGATCATTTTGAGGATATCCACCTATTCAATATTAAAGATATGATTTACAAAACCTTTCACTATTTTTAAAACAGTGTCATATTACCTTGATATTGTTGAGGATATGATGGTGCATAAGAATTTTGAAATGATGGTTGTTGTGGATAACCACCTAACAATTATTCGAATTAGATTATTTCAAAGAAACTAAATGACTGTTTACCTTGTTGAGGTTGATATGAATTTGATTGTTGATAAGGATTTGGCGGTTGGTAAGAATTTGGCGGTTGATAAGGATTTAACGATTGGAAAGGATTAGATTGTTGATATGGAGTTGATGGCTGATATGGATTTGATTGTGGGTATGGATTTTGATAACTTGCAGTATTTGCTAGAACACATAATATTCATTTATTCTCTTACAATGGAAGATTTTGTACTGGTTAGAAAAGAACGTGAGACTTGAGGTGTAAGGCGACTGGTTGATTGGCGGTGATGATAAAAATTTTTTAATTTTTTAAAATCTTCGTCGCCAGCTGATTCGAATCTGTAGGTTCTTCAGCGGTGGCTGGAAACTTCGAAACTGAATAATGATTTAGACGATAAAAAACGCCTGTTTATTTCAATATATGGTTAATAATAATTTCGAAACAGCTAAATGAAATAACTGTGTTTCACACATTAGTTTAATCAAGACATTACATATAGGCGACATGAAGATGAGTAATGAATTATTAAACAATTTTGCTCAAAATCAAGAGATCCAGTGATTCTAAGGATGGGCATACTTAATTGATATATATATCAAGATGGAAAAAAAACTTGTTCACTTTAATTTTTAATGATAGAGTCTGAAAGACTCTCTGCAAAATATTAATTTTTATCTATGTCCGAGCTGTTGTTTCAATTCTACAGCTTTTGTTCTACAGCGCCTTGAAGAAAACGAAGAAGGAGTATAATAATTTGTTGGTTTGATTTGCTGAATTCCTATCACTCGGTGGCTTGATAATAAGAGATTTATCCTATTTCCTGTGCTTCATGTATCAGTTTACATGCTAACTCTTTTTTGATTGGCGATAAAGTCTTATCTTTTTATTGAAATTTCCACTGATCGAAGCAAATTTTGTAATAAACACTTCATTTGTTCTTTTGTGCAAGTAATGCAAGCGACAAGAAATAAATTATCGTTTTAGTATATTCAGTGATTTTATTAGAGTAAAAAGGTTTTCATTGAAATTATGAAAACTCGTTCTATCTGGTGATAGATTCAGATACAAATCAAACTTACACCGCCAATATTAATAAAACTTCTCTGCACTTCTATTATTCCGGATACAGAGTATTAATTTTTCGTACATATAAACAACTGAAAAGATGAAGAAGAAATTTCACGATTCAAATATAAATAAAAATATATTCTAAAAAAAAATTCGACGTTTGCATACAAATATCGGTGGTGGATGAGAAATTCTTAAAATTTTCATTGTCCAGATGGCTACAGTATGTGTAAGATACTCACGAGTCAAAATTTTAATACTATTTATTTTTCTTTTTACGTAATAGTTGGATATAGCTCGTCGAGTTATGTAAGAAAAAAAAACAATTAAGTTCAAAATACCATTACATTCAAATACAAGTGAAATAGACTAAAAATTTTTGAATTTTACGGAATATTTTGAAATTTGTTTTTAAGTTTGCAATACACTTTTTCTTATGCAACTCGGCAAGTTTTATTCAACCATCACGTAAAAAGAAAAATAAATAGTATTAAAATTTTGATTTGTGAGTGTCTCACATATATTGTAAATACCTAAAAAATCCATCATCTCGCACGGTACACATCACATGCAGCTCATATTGTAAACTTGTTAGTTTGACAGTAAGAGCTTTAATTTGACTCGAATATATCTAATGTTCTTTACTAACAACACAAAACTTCCCATTGTTAGTGTTCTTAACGGTGAAAATTTGATCAAAATTCGACTAACTTAGTGGTGTTGGTGGTGGTGGCGGTTGTTGTTGATTACCAGGATATGTTTGTGGATATGGACTTTGAAAACTATTACCTCCTAAAATACACATTGTCATGATTGATTTATGATGAAATTAATTTGATTTTTAAATAATGATTGAAGCTGACCTTGAAATGTTAATGGTTGTTGCCCCATGTTTGATGAATAATTACTTGTATTTGTTGACTGGGCATTTACTGGATAAGGACTTGTATAAGATGATGATGATGCTGGAGGAGCACTTGGATATTGTGACATTTGAGATAATTGTCTTCCCGCATAAGGTGTATTTTGAGAAGATGGTTGAGATACCATACTAGAATATTCTACTAGTCTTGTATTTGTAGTAGGATTAGGTAGTGATGCAGATGTTGAAGAAGAAATTGGTGGGGCTGATGGTTGTGTGTTTCCTGATCCAAGATTGGGATACATTATTATTTCCTCTTACTTTTTCTTTCAATATCAAAACGTACAGCAAATAAGTATGCCTTCACTGAATTTCTATTCTCCTTTATTTATTTACTGTACATGCGTACGATAACCTATTTAAAATAAAGGTATGATGACAGACAGAACGAAAAGCGCACGGTAGAAGAAGAAGAAAAGAAAAGAACGCTAAAAGCGTCAATACCAATAATACACATTTTTTTGCCACTTTTCGTTTAAAATATACACACGTAATAGGCATAAAGCACGTGTTGTATGTAATTCGATTTAAAAAAAAAAAGAAGAAATTATCAAAGTTTATTTATGTTCTTAGTACATTTTGCAATAATTGATAAATATAAAGATTTTTATTTTATTGAACAATAAAATTAAATTAAAATGAATAAATAAGTTTAATAACTTGAATTAAAACTTTTAATGAAATGATAATTTTGATGTATTCTAATGTTTTGAATTAGATTCAATTCAAACTTGAAAATAATTATTCATTTATCTATGCTAGATTATTTATTTTTTTTGACTATGATTAATAAATACTTTTGTGTGACTGAAACTAAAATTTTTTATAATATCTGTTTCATTATCATTTCTTCCTGTATTTAAGAATTTTAATGTAAAGGATTTATTGACAAAAACATCACTATATAAATGCGTCAACTTCCATTTTCTTATTAACAAATAAAGATTCACATGTTTGTATTGTATCACAGATAGGGTACTTCGATCCGCTGTAATCTTGAGGTGCGGGGAAGCTTCCATTATTTGTGACGGTCTCAACATGATTTCTTCTGCATCAATGATTGCGATCGTGAAATTTTGACGGAAAATTTTATTATAACAGAATACTCACTGGAGAAAATTTCAAGATAAATGAGTAAAATTAGTCGAAGATACCGGTCAATTTTTGACTTTTCTCATCCACTCTCATATGAAAATTAACTAAAGAATACTTCATAAATCAGACAAACTAAAACCATTTGAGTGAAACTAAAGGATTAAAATTTAGATACTTTTTACTTGAAAACAAGACTGTTTGCGACTACTGTAGCTGCGTCTGAAATACATCATTTTCCTTTTCAGAGTTTCTGAATTGTATTTAGATCAAAGATTTTTCTTATGAATATGAACTGTTAACATGTCTTTATCAGTAATGAAATGATAAGCCCATTTCGTCAAAACATGACGATGATATTCAATTTTTTCTTGGTAAAATAATTTACTCTCTACTAACTAGTCGCATATAATTAAAATATGATAATATGAATGCTGAATTCTATGTCTTATTGACAGTAATGTTACAAAGCAAAAAAAAAACGAAGTAAAGCAATTATTATTGCTTATCTTGTTAGCATAGAATATGTTGAAATAACAACGATTTTCTATATTCGTTTCAGAACGTGTCTATCAAAAAGATAAACCGATGTGCACTTATCCTATGACATTAAATTTTATTGTTAAACATTTTTGATATTTTTAAATAAAAGAATAAGATAACATTATTATGTAGTTTTTCGTATTATGTAATAGGATATCATCTGGAATATGATAGTTATTTGAAAGTACGTTGGTACAATAATCTACCTATGCTTCAAAGAAGTGGTTCATAGTATAAAGAAGAATGATAAATTATTAGATTTAATAATTTATCAATTTAAATTTCAATGTATTTATAGTTGTATTGATATGTTCTCAAAAAAGAATCCAGGTATTATTGATTGTAAAAGAACCTCAAGAATAAAGCATTTGTGAAAGAAATCATATAAATATAAAAACTTTCATTTCATATATTATATTCAATAGACTGGAAACAATTACCATACGACACGTCAGCACTGCAAGAGGTTATAATAACTTGCCCTAGCTGTTTCTATTTTGCCGATATATATAAAATTTAGATTTAGGCATAAATCAACAGGATTATGTAAAAGATTTCGAAATAAAACAAAATTGATCTTATTCATTGACATCGAATTTGTCATAGCAAGCTGCATCAAAACAAAAAAGAATCTTTAAGTTTATGTTTATTTATCTTTGGATTTAACCTGAATTATAGATGATATTTAAAGTATGAATATATCATGTTGTTAAGTTTTGTTGATTTATGTTTCAACTAAAAACAATGACGAATTTTTTAGGTTATATATTTTCTATAGTAAAATAATAAATATCGTCTTTCAAAATTTGATGTTCAAAAAATTATTATGTCAATTTTCTTATTTATAAAAATACTTTCGAACATTATTTTCATTTGTGCATACATTTGAATATGAATAAGTGAATTATCACTTGAAGATGATTATTAATGGTTGAATTTAGGACAAAGTTTGCCGTCAATGTGAAACTACTTATGTAGAATAATAAATTATTGAAAGATATGAATTGATACTTGTATATAAAGTCTTGTTTCCTGTAAACAATGACAATATGTATTATTCTTCTTTGAAAGTTCATAGAGCATAGAAATCGAATAAACTTTTACAATTTTCATCTGCTACCATTTTGTAATTAGTGAAAAGAGACTTCTCATAGAGATTCTGACAGACGTAAGAAGGAATAAATGTTCTTTTTATTACTTTTTCTTGAATGTCACGTATGAACGAATAAATAATATGTTAGCAATTTAACTGAATGATAAACGTGTACTGCATGCAGACATTCTTTGTATGATCAAGACCATATATTATTTATGATGGTTTATAATTTATTTCATTCTATTCCTGTTTCTAGATAAAAATAATCTTTTTATAATTCCAGAGCTTCACTTTATTTATTCAAATGATGTTTATTATTCATTCATTCAATTTTAGTTTTGATTGAATTTTCTTTTAGTCTAAATGACTATTTGTGATGTACTGTTTACAATCAACTTGTTAAATGATTTGACTATATTTACCAACAATTTCAAATAAATATTTTGTTAATCTAAGTTTCTTTTTTTTTTTTTTAGTTTTATAAAAATTTCTTCGAATATCATTTGAAAAAAGGAAAATGAGTTGCATGTTTAAATATACATAGAAATATTATTGTTTCTTATCAAATTTAAGTGAAACAGAATTAACACAATGACGTTCTTGAATTATTTTACCATTAACATCGCGTAGTCCTTCACCTCTAAAGACATGACCTAAAATAGAGAAAAAAAATCTTATTATTTAAAATTAAAATTATATCTCGAAATCATAAATAATCGATTGATCATAAATACATTTTAGGAAGATTATCTTATTAACCAGCAGAATGCAGAATTCTTGCGTTCAATTATTCGAATTCTCCGTACACACTAACTAACGACTTACTAACCGCAAGAGTAGAAGTATGTCATAACATAGTCATCATGCTACCAAAGACAAGTGGCTATAACCGCATTTTTGTTGTCCGAAATGTATTTTTTTAAAAAGAAGCACATATTCTGAATCAGCATGAAATTCTGAGCAAGATGAGATACTTTTTTCACCTGTCCTATGAGGAACCTCAGAATCGTTAAAAATTTTTTTTTTAAAACTTCATCGAATCAAGTATCATTAGATGCAGAATTTGATACTGATTCCGAATTTCGGATCCATATTCAAAAAGAAATTGAATGTTGATAGAGAAAAATTCAAATTACATACACGATGCTGGGAGAAGCCTATTTTCATTTATTATCCTTAGATGACCGAGTAATCCCATTAGAAAGTCTAAACACATACAGTGATGTAGGTAAAATCACTATCGAGTACACCTAAATAAATTAAATGAACAAAGATTATATTATTTCGTAGGCAAAATACCTATTGTGGTCCATAACTTATCATAAATTCGTGCTCATTATGACCTGGTTTTTTGAGTATTTGATTTCACAACTATCGAGAACTTAGTTTTAAAAGAGTTTTCTAATATGTTTCCGATTCAGAAAGAAATGCCGCACATGATTGTATATGTTTTAGACTCTCTAATGGTATTACTCGGTCGCCTAAGAACAATAAATGAAAATAGGCTTCCCATAGCTTCGTATAATAATTTGAATTTTTCTCTATCAAAATTCAGTTTTTTTGAGTATAGATCCGAAATTCGGAATCAGTATTAAATTCCACATGTCGTGATACTTGATTCGATGAATTTTGAAAAAAAAATTTTTTTCGATGGTTCTGAGGCCCTCCACAGGGCAGGTAAAAAAATGAAAGCCATTTTTTTGCAAAAGAGTATCTCATCTTACTGAGAATTTAATGCTGATTCATACTATGTATTTCTTTTCAAAAAACATCTCAAGCAACAGTCACATCAGTAGAATTCAAAATATTTTCTTTTTCAATCCCATTGGGATGGCGATAGATTTTTAGTAACGCAATGCACATCTCTGATTTCTAGTCTTCATATAAAATCGATTCGAAATAAATAACGGGTGGCCCATAAAGAATTGCCTTCTTAGTGTTTTTAACATTTCTTCTCTATTATCCCTGTGATTCAAACATCTTTTTTTATCAAAAGATAGCCCTTGAAATTCTCTACAAAACCACATATGACTAGACCTTAAAACTATTTCAGATATATCTGAGAAAAGATGAAAAATGAAGACACACAAAAAGCTGTAAAAAATAACGGATTGTACATAATGAAGGATCGCGCTTTGTATCTAATGTTTTCATCACTTCGTCCTATTAAAAAACAAAATAAACCAAGAGATGCAGCGTGAAAACATCTACAATTTATATAAGACCGCCTATTTTATAGTTGCACTTTTTGTCTTCAAAATGGACAAGATTTTGAGCGATCAAATTTGGACCGTGCGAAAATAATCTTTTTTTTAGTACAAGATGAATTCGTTTTTTCTTATTTTATCTTCTTATTACCTGATATGTTTTATTTAAACAAAAAAAACACCACAAGATGCAGCGTGGAAAACTCTACTCTATAAAAAAGAGAAAATAAGAAAAAAGGAATTCATCTTGTACTAAAAAAAATATCACATTTTCGCACGGTCGAAATTCGATTGCCCAAAATTTTGT